GCTGGAGGACTGGGCTGTATTTCTGCAGTGAACCAGCTGGAGGACTGGGCGTATTCTGCACTGAACCCAGCTGGAGGACTGGCTGTATTTCTGCAGTGAACCCAGCTGGAGGACTGGGCTGTATTTCTGCAGTGAACCAGCTGGAGGACTGGGATGTATTCTGCACTGTACCCAGCTGGAGGACTGGGCCCGTATTTCTGCAATGAAAACCCCGCTGGAGGATGGGCTGTATTTCTGCCCCTGAACCCAGCTGGAGGACTGGGATGTATTTCTCCAGTTAACCCAGCTGGAGGACTGGGCTGTATTTCTGCAGTGAACCCAGCTGGAGGACTGGGGCTGTATTTCGCAGTGAACCCAGCTGGAGGACTGGCTTTTTCTGCAGTGAACCGCTGAGACCGAGCTGTATTTGAAACTGGGCCGCTTTCTGCGGACTGGGCGGGTATGCTGCAGTGAATCTGCTGGAGACTGGCTGATTGGCTGGGCAGTACCAGTGACAGGCTGGGTATTCTGGCTGAACTCTGCAGGCTGTATTTCAGTGGAGTAAACCGGCTGTATTTCTGGGCTGTAATTTGGGTGGCTGTATCTCAGCGGAGGAACTGAGCTGTATTTCTGCACTGAACCCAGCTGGAGGACTGGGCTGTATTCTGCAGTGAACCCAGCTGGAGGACTGGGCTGTATTTCTGCAGTGAACCCAGCTGGAGGACTGGGCTGTATTTCTGCCACTGACCCAGCTGGAGGACTGGGCTGTATTTCTGCAGTGAACCCAGCTGGAGGACTGGGCTGTATTTCTGCAGTGACCCAGCTGGAGGACTGGGCTTTATTTCTGCACGTGAACCCAGCTGGAGGACTGGGCTGTATTTCTGCACTGAACCCAGCTGGAGGACTGGGTGTATTTCTCACTTCCCCAGCTGGAGGACTGGGCTGTATTCTCAGTAACCCAGCTGGAGGACTGGGATGTATTTCTGCACTGACCCTGGAGGACTGGGCTGTATTTCTGCACTGAACCACTGCGGAGGACTGGGCTGTATTTCTGCACTGAACCCAGCTGGAGGACTGGGCTGTATTTCTCCAGTTAACCCAGCTGGAAGACTGGGATGTATTTCTGCAGTGCATTAACCCAGCTGGAGGACTGGGCTGTATTCTCTGCAGTGAACCCAGCTGGAGGACTGGGCTTGTATTTCTGCAGCTGAACCCAGCTGGAGAGCTGGGCTGTATTTCTGCAGTAACCCAGCTGGAGACTGGGTTATTTCTCCTGAACCCAGCTGGATGACTGGGCTGTATTTTCTGCAGTGGAACCCAGCTGAGCTGGGCTGTATTTCCAGTTAACCCAGCTGGAGGACTGGGATGTATTTCTCCAGTTAACCCAGCTGGAGGACTGGGCTGTAATTTCCAGTTAACCAGCTGGATGACTGGGTGTATTTCTCCAGTTAACCCAGCTGGATGACTGGGCTGTATTTCTCCATTAACCCGCTGGAGGACTGGGCTGTATTTCTCCAGTTACCAAACCCGGAGCTGGAGGACTGGTGTATTCTCCCAGTTAAAGCCGACGGGAACTGGGCTGTATTTCTCCAGTTAACCCAGCTGGATGACTGGGCTGTATTTCTCCCGTTAACCCGCTGGATGACTGGGCTGTATTTCTCCAGTTAACCAGCTGGATGACTGGGCTCTATCTGTTACCCAGTTAACCCGACCGGGATGGGCTGTATTCTCCAGTTAACCCAGCTGGATGACTGGGCTTTATTCCCTCCAGGTTGACCGGCTGGTATACCGTGGTGCTGTGGGTTCTCCAGTTAACCCAGCTGGAGGACTGGGCTGTATTTCCTCCCGTTAATCCAGCTGGAGGAATGGGCTGTATTTCTCCAGTTAACCCAGCTGGAGGACTGGGGCTGTATTTCTCCAGTTAACCCAGCTGGAGGACTGGGCTGTATTTCTCCAGTTAACCCAGCTGGAGGACTGGGCTGTATTTCTCCAGTTAACCCAGCTGGAGGACTGGGCTGTATTTCTCCAGTGAACCCAGCTGGAGGACTGGGCTGTATTTCTGCAGTGAACCCAGCTGGAGGACTGGGCTGTATTTCTGCAGTGAACCCAGCTGGAGGACTGGGCTGTATTTCTGCAGTGAACCCAGCTGGAGGACTGGGCTGTATTTCTGCAGTGAACCCAGCTGGAGGACTGGGCTGTATTTCTGCAGTGAACCCAGCTGGAGGACTGGGCTGTATTTCTGCAGTGAACCCAGCTGGAGGACTGGGCTGTATTTCTGCACTGAACCCAGCTGGAGGACTGGGCTGTATTTCTGCAGTGAACCCAGCTGGAGGACTGGGCTGTATTTCTGCAATGAACCCAGCTGGAGGACTGGGCTGTATTTCTGCAGTGAACCCAGCTGGAGGACTGGGCTGTATTTCTGCACTGAACCCAGCTGGAGGACTGGGCTGTATTTCTGCACTGAACCCAGCTGGAGGACTGGGCTGTATTTCTCCAGTTAACCCAGCTGGAGGACTGGGATGTATTTCTCCAGTTAACCCAGCTGGAGGACTGGGCTGTATTTCTGCAGTGAACCCAGCTGGAGGACTGGGCTTGTATTTCTGCACTGAACCCAGCTGGAGGACTGGGCTGTATTTCTCCAGTAACCCAGCTGGAGGACTGGGCTGTATTTCCGCAGTGAACCCAGCTGGAGGACTGGGATGTATTTCTGCACTGTACCCAGCTGGAGGACTGGGCTGTATATCTCCAGTTAACCCAGCTGGATGACTGGGATGTATTTCTCCAGTTAACCCAGCTGGATGACTGGGCTGTATTTCTCCAGTTAACCCAGCTGGAGGACTGGGCTGTATTTCTCCAGTTAACCCAGCTGAAGGACTGGGCTGTATTTCTGCAGTGAACCCAGCTGGAGGACTGGGCTGTATTTCCGCAGTGAACCCAGCTGGAGGACTGGGCTGTATTTCTCCAGTTAACCCAGCTGGATGACTGGGCTGTATTTCTCCAGTTAACCCAGCTGGAGGACTGGGCTGTATTTCTCCAGTTAACCCAGCTGGAGGACTGGGCTGTATTTCTCCAGTTAACCCAGCTGGAGACTGGGCTGTATTTCTGCAGTGAACCCAGCTGGAGGACTGGGCTGTATTCTCCAGTTAACCCAGCTGGAGGACTGGCTGTATTTCTCCAGTTAACCCAGCTGGAGGACTGGGCTGTATTTCTCCAGTTAACCCAGCTGGATGACTGGGTTGTATTTCTCCAGTTAACCCAGCTGGAGGACTGGGCTGTATTTCTCCAGTTAACCCAGCTGGATGACTGGGTTGTATTTCTCCAGTTAACCCAGCTGGAGGACTGGGCTGTATTTCTCCAGTTAACCCAGCTGGAGGACTGGGCTGTATTTCTCCAGTTAATCCAGCTGGAGGACTGGGCTGTATTTCTCCAGTTAACCCAGCTGGATGGACTGGGCTGTATTTCTCCAGTTAACCACAGCTGGGAGGACTGGGCTGTTTTCTCCAGTTAACCCAGCTGGAGGACTGGGCTGTATTCTCCAGTTAAACCCCAGCTGGAGGACTGGGCTGTATTTCTCCAGTTAACCCAGCTGGATGAACTGGGTTTGTATTTCTCCAGTTAACCCAGCTGGAGGACTGGGCTGTATTTCTCCAGTTAACCCGCTGGATGACTGGGTTGTATTTCTCCAGTTAACCCAGCTGGAGGACTGGGCTGTATTTCTCCAGTTAACCCAGCTGGAGGACTGGGCTGTATTTCTCCAGTTAATCCAGCTGGAGGACTGGGCTGTATTTCTCCAGTTAACCCAGCTGGATGACTGGGCTGTATTTCTCCAGTTAACCCAGCTGGAGGACTGGGCTGTATTTCTGCAGTGAACCCAGCTGGAGGACTGGGCTGTATTTCTCCAGTTAACCCAGCTGGAGGACTGGGCTGTATTTCTCCAGTTAACCCAGCTGGAGGACTGGGCTGTATTTCTCCAGTTAACCCAGCTGGAGGACTGGGCTGTATTTCTCCAGTTAACCCAGCTGGAGGACTGGGCTGTATTTCTCCAGTTAACCCAGCTGGAGGACTGGGCTGTATTTCTCCAGTTAATCCAGCTGGAGGACTGGGCTGTATTTCTCCAGTTAACCCAGCTGGAGGACTGGGCTGTATTTCTCCAGTTAACCCAGCTGGAGGACTGGGCTGTATTTCTGCAGTCGTTTTTTCCTTCTTGTGTTTTTTCCCCCTCTGTCTGTCCATGTGTCTGTTCCAGTATATGATGTGATCACCCTGAGAAACACTGATTGATTCTTTCTGAAGGAAATAGTTTTCCTGTAAATCCCAAAGTACAGCAATAGTCGTTAAATTACAGTACTTAAACGATTATTATTGGTATCTGACATTACAGTAATGTACATGATAGATGTGCTCGAGATGTGTAGTAGGGCATAATCCCGTCTAATAGAGGGACAACAGAAAGGGAATATCTCTCATCATTGATCATGCTGGTCCTCCGTAGCTCAGCTGGTAGAGCACGGCGCTTGTAACGCCAGGGTAGTGGGTTCGATCCCCAGGACCACCCATACGTAAAAAATTTATGCGCGCATGACTATAAGTCGCTTTGGATAAAAGCGTCTGCTAAATGGCATATTATATTATGCTTGACGTTCTTCCACAGAGACATTTAATGACAAGGCAAAAACAAATCCTGAGTATCATATTGTGTGATTTGTTTTTGGACCACCTGAAGAATGCCATTTCCTGCACATGCTTTTTATCCCTGAGTATCCATACATTCCATTCCAGATTGACATTTGAAATTATACATTTTCAGTTTATCTCCAAGTGCCGTGTTAAAGGGGCATTGCACCCTAGAATCTAAGTTTGTCAGATGTTTTCATACCTTAAATGTAGTCTTCAACTCTCCAACTCTTCTATTAATTTCTCTCCTCCTCCAAAACCATGACCACATTTGAGCTGAAACGATCTCCGTAAAACCTGAATATTTCCCTCCTAAATCTTTTCAATGTATTTCTCTCCTCCTCCAGAACCATGACAACGGCTGCATCGCTTGTCGTATCATCTACCGGTCAGATGAGTTCCGCCCTCCCATCCTGGCGCCGCGGGCGGACATGACAGTGGGGCTGTATGGCCAATGGGTGAGCCAGGGCTGCGAGGTCCGCCCTGAGGTCCTCTTCCTGACCCGTCACTTCATCTTCCATGACAACAACCAGACCTGGGAGGGTCACTACTACCACTACTCTGACCCCGTCTGCAAACACCCCTCCTTCAGTATCTACGCTAGAGGGAGGTACAGCCGAGGGACGCGTTCAACCAGAGTTATGGGAGGCACGGAGTTCGTCTTCGAAGGTAAAGGTCCAAGGTTGATTTTTCAACTCTGTTGAGATTGAATTGTGAGCTGTGTGGTTGAGATGAAAAGAGAGGGATGGTTACAAATGTGTGTATTTCAGATTACATTGATCACTCTCTATCTCTCTCTCTCTTTCTCTCTCCCTCCCTCCCTCCCCCCTCTCCCTCCCTCCCCCCTCCCCCCTCCTCCCTCCCTCCCCCCTCTCCCTCCCTCCCTCCCCCCTCTCCCTCCCTCCCCCCCCCTCCCCCCTCTCCCTCCCTCCCTCCCCCCTCTCCCTCCCTCCCTCCCACCCCCTTCAGTGAACCACATGCGTGTGATACCCATGGACCTCGCCACCACCTCCCTCCTCAACGTGTTCAACGGTAACGAGTGTGGCACCCATGGTTCCTGGGAGGTCGGAGTTGAACAGGACGTCACCCTGACCAATGGCTGCGTGGCGTTGGGGATACGCCTGCCCCACACAGAGTACGAGCTGTTCCGGATGGAGCAGGACGCCCACGGACGACACCTCCTCTACAACGGACAGAGACCCTCCGACGGGTCCAGCCCCGACCGGCCGGACAAACGAGCGACCTCGTACCAGATGCCCCTGGTCCAGTGTTCCGCTAGCAGCCGGAGGTCAGAGGTCATGGGAGGGGAAGATGAGGACCATCCCCTGAGGCTGAGTAATGGTGGAACCAGAATGACGTGGAACCAGAACCGGAAGGATGCTGTTGTGGTTCTGACCGCGCTGGTTCTGTTGTCTGGGTTTTCATAGTTAAAGAACAGACCTACTGAAACGGTCTGGGTTTTTGTACATAGAGACACTGACTGACAAGAGGAATTCTAGTGTGTAGAACTGTGGACTCTAATCTGACTCTACCCTGAGGGAAAGGAGACTGCTAGTTGCCTTTGACGCACTTGAACTTTTGAAATCTATTTTTTTTGCCTCTTTTAAAACGCGATGGAAGCGTTTTTAAAAGACAAGGTGGAGAGAGGGAGAGCGAGTGGAGACTAGTTCCTTTGATGCATCTGTTGCTTTGAACTCACCACAGAGGTGACATCACGATAACTGCTCTTTAGTAAAGTGCAAATGGAGAACTATAATAATAATAATTATTATTATAGAACTATAGATGTTTATCTACGCCTGCATCCATTTCAGACAAACCCTTTATGTATCCACACACACAGGAGATGATGTTTTATACTCCGTACCTTAACAAAATATCAAGTTTCTTCTTGGTACTACAAATAGATTAAATAAGATGCGTTATTTTCAACAATGAAATATAAAGATCGCAAAGAACGTTTGCTCTCATGTACACCCTACAGGGTCCCCTGTAGCTCAGTTGGTAGAGCGTGGCGCTTGCAACGCCAGGGTTGTGGGTTCGTTTCCCACGGGGGGCCAGTATGAAAAACGTATGCACTCACTAACTGTAAGTCGCTCTGGATACGAGCGTCTGCTAAATGACTAAAATGTAAAATATGTAAATGTACGGATTCAGGGTTTAAAAGGGAAATACATTATCAGTACAATATGACTACTGATAATGACAACCTACATTATCACAGACTACCGTGACCATATGCTACTGACTCGACTCCTCAACCTAATACCAAAAAATGTTTTCGCGTTAAATGACACTTTTTTGTTGTCTAATCTACCCCGTAACTAAACACCAAACACTTCATGGTACAGGTCCCGGAGTTACGCCATGTTTAGAAATCAGGACACGCTCTTCTTTGTCTTCGTTTGATGTTTAACAGATATCTCTGCTCTGATCTAGCCTGAGAACCCTCTCAGTTAACAGATATCTCTGCTCTGATCTAGCCTGAGAACCCTCTCAGTTAACAGATATCTCTGCTCTGATCTAGCCTGAGAACCCTCTCAGTTAACAGATATCTCTGCTCTGATCTATGTATGAAAAATGTATGCACTCACTAACTGTAAGTCGCTCTGGAAAAGAGCGTCTGCTAAATGACTAAAATGTAAATGTAAATCTAGCCTGCGAACCATCTCATATGCAATGGGTGTAGGTGCCCTAAAACAACATGTATAACTGGCTATATATATATATATATATATAACAATTAAAGATTTGAAACTGTACACTGGTTATTATGGACTCTTTATTTTGTAAGGACAAACTGTACTAATTGCAAATAGGGGTGGGGGAAGAGGTGAAGGGGATACCTAGTCAGTTGCACAACTGAATGCATTCAACTGAAATGTGTCTTCCCCATTTAACCCAACCCCTCTGAATCAGAGAGGTGCGTAGGGGGGGCTGCCTTAATCGACGTCATCAGTGCCCGGGGAGCAGTTGTTGTTGAGGGTTAACTGCCTTGCGCAAGGGCAGAACGGCAGATTTTTCCACCTTGCCGGCTCGGGTGTCCGAACCAGCGACCTTTCCGTTATTGGCCCAAAGCTCTCAGCCGCTGTTGGTTTTTACTCAAGCATTTCTAAGACAAACAAAAGAAAATCAAAACCCAGGAGAAAACAGTTGGAAATAAGATGTTTCAATAGAACAGAGGTAATGAAGAAACATGAATAAGCACTTGAATTGCTTTTAAATTGAAGGGTGTATTTTATAGCGCCATGGACAATACTTTGTAGTGAATTTCCATGAATATAAATAAAAAACAAAAAAAGGTCAACAGCTAATTATTGCTGGATATCCAAGGATATACTGTAACCTTGTACGGTACCTGGACTTCTGTTGTATAATCAAGCCAACTTCATAAAATACGATATATTAATTAAAATAATTATTATTAAAAAATAATTAATTAATATTAACTTTAATTATTTCTCCATATTGTTTTCAAACACTTTTCGCAGAAATAAATAAATACATGTAAATATAATTTAATGGATAGTGTGTTTCCTTTTTACCTCAAAGAATAAAAATCTGTCACTAGGTCTTGGGTTGGGGGGTCATGGGGTGGTTTGCATGGAAACATTTGACCTTTTTGAGAATGATATGTTTTTCTTTTTTATGATCGTGTTTTAAGATCTACTACCTGAAGAGATGTTTTGAAGTGTGGGGAGGTTGAGTAACACAAGTAAAAAGGAGCATGGAATGGACTCTACCTACATGTGGATTTATCCTACTGCTTTCACCAACACATGTATGAGGGTTAAATTGCCTACTCTAATAACATTGTTTTTAGTTATACGACAAAAAAGAAAAAAAGTGATACCTTAGCGGGATTTTGTTCCAGACAAGCAGTAAGACGCCTGATTGTACTAATCAACTGCTAATAGTCCAGACCAGGGCTCTTCAACCCCGTTCCTGGAGAGACACCCTCCCGTAGGTTTTATTTCCAACCCTGTTCCTGGAGAGACACCCTCCTGTAGGTTTTATTTCCAACCCCGTTCCTGGAGAGACACCCTCCCGTAGGTTAACACCAACCCCGTTCCTGGAGAGACACCCTCCTGTAGGTTAACTCCAACCCCGTTCCTGGAGAGACTCCCTCCCGTAGGTTTTAATTCCAACCCCGTTCCTGGAGACACCCTCCTGTAGGTTAACTCCAACCCCTGTTCCTGGAGAGACACCCTCCTGTAGGTTAACTCCAACCCCGTTCCTGGAGACACCCTCCTGTAGGTTTTATTTCCAACCCCGTTCCTGGAGAGACACCCTCCTGTAGGTTTTATTTCCAACCCCGTTCCTGGAGAGATACCCTCCTGTAGGTTAACTCCAACCCCGTTCCTGGAGAGACACCCTCCTGTAGGTTAACTCCAACCCTGTTCCTGGAGAGATACCCTCCTGTAGGTTAACTCCAACCCTGTTCCTGGAGAGACACCCTCCTGTAGGTTTTATTTCCAACCCCGTTCCTGGAGAGACACCCTCCTGTAGGTTTTATTTCCAACCCCGTTCCTGGAGAGACACCCTCCTGTAGGTTTTATTTCCAACCCCGTTCCTGGAGAGACACCCTCCCGTAGGTTAACTCCAACCCTGTTCCTGGAGAGACACCCTCCTGTAGGTTAACTCCAACCCTGTTCCTGGAGAGATACCCTCCTGTAGGTTTTAATTCTAACCCCGTTCCTGGAGAGACACCCTCCTGTAGGTTAACTCCAACCCCGTTCCTGGAGAGACACCCTCCTGTAGGTTTTATTTCCAACCCCGTTCCTGGAGAGACACCCTCCTGTAGGTTAACTCCAACCCCGTTCCTGGAGAGACACCCTCCTGTAGGTTTTATTTCCAACCCCGTTCCTGGAGAGACACCCTCCTGTAGGTTAACTCCAACCCCGTTCCTGGAGAGACACCCTCCTGTAGGTTTTATTTCCAACCCCGTTCCTGGAGAGACACCCTCCTGTAGGTTTTATTTCCAACCCAGTTCCTGGAGAGACACCCTCCTGTAGGTTAACTCCAACCCCGTTCCTGGAGAGACACCCTCCTGTAGGTTTTATTTCCAACCCCGTTCCTGGAGAGACACCCTCCTGTAGGTTAACTCCAACTCCGTTCCTGGAGAGATACCCTCCTGTAGGTTTTAATTCCAACCCTGTTCTTGGAGAGATACCCTCCTGTAGGTTAATTCCAACCCTGTTCCTGGAGAGATACCCTTCTGTAGGTTTTAATTCCAACCCTGTTCCTGGAGAGACACCCTCCTGTAGGTTAACTCCAACCCTGTTCCTGGAGAGATACCCTCCTGTAGGTTAACTCCAATTCTAATCTAGCACACCTGATTCTAATAATTAGCTGGTTGATAAACTGAAATCAGGTTAATTACAACTGGGGTTGGAGCGAAAACCTACACGAGTGTAGCTCTCCAGGAACAGGGTTGGAGAGCCCTGATCCAGACTGTCAAGAATCAGGTGGGTTTCTGCTTGGCTAGAACGAAACCTTGCACCCACACACTAGCCCTGGAATGATACGTTTCCATCGACCGTGCAGGGTAGCTAAGGACAGCTGGCCCAGTTCAAGACCTCTACAGCTGGAGAGGTTCATACCTTTACACCATGTTATCACATCAATGATCCCATGACCACCCATAACACTTAGCTTACTGTTTAAAGTTTTTTTTTTTCTGATTGTGGGCGTTATTGACTGGGCCTGGGCCCAGTATAAAGCGTCTCAGAGAAGAAGTGCTCGTCTAGGATCAGGTCCTGTCCACGTTATGTTATTAGGCCCAGCTTGTCTAGCGTTAAGATCTAAAAGGCAAAACTGGTCCTAGATCAGCACTCAAGGGTTTTTGTTAAGATCTTTTCTTACCCCCTTTCTCTCCCCAATTTCTTGGTATCCAATTGGTAGTTACAGTCTTGTCCCATCGCTGCAACTCCCGTACGGACGAAGGTCGAAGGTCATTCAATTATAGTCTAAATAAAGAAAAACCCTTGAATGAGGAGGTGTCCAAACTTTTGACTGGTAGTGTATTTTTCAGGGCCCCGTCTTTCAAAGACAAGTTGTAAAAATCCAAATAACTTCACAGATCTTCATTGTAAAGGATTTAAACACAGATTCCCCATGCTTGTTCAATGAACCATAAACAATTAATGAACATGCACCTGTGGAACGGTCGTTAAGACACTAACAGCTTACAGACGGTAGGCAATTAAGTTATTAAAACTTAGGACACTAAAAGAGGCCTTTCTACTGACTCTGAAAAACACCAAAAGAAAGATGCCCAGGGTCACTGCTCATCTGCGTGAACGTGCCTTAGGCATGCTGCAAGGAGGCATGAGGACTGCAGATGTGGCCAGGGCAATAAATTGCAATGTCCGTACTGTCCGAACTAAGACAGTGCTACAGGGAGACAGGACGGACAGCTGATCGT